GGCTCGAGAACAAACGAAAAGCCATGCGTTTGCGGAACATCCGAAGGCCACACCTGGAAGCCCCCTGCTTCAACTAACCGTTCCAAGTCTATGATTTGATCAAGATGTAAAGTTGACAACAGGAGTTGTCGCCGCTGGGAAATCAACCATTCCTGGGATTAAATAATTCAACCTGGGGCAATCAACTCAAGGGCCTTCACTGAGGCTTACGTGGGTGTGCTTTGGTTGAGAAACGGCCTTCAACCGTCATGGGGCTTTCCTTCCCTTGACCCCCCTTGATCCCCCAACCCTTGGGGCCTGCCAGGACTGCTGTATCTCGGCGACTACATCCGCAGGGAACTCGACTTTGTCGATGCTCTGGTCGTAGACCGCCTCGCGGACGCGGAAGGTCCGGACCCTCTGCACAACTTCAATGGCCCAAGCGAGTGGTGTTTGGCACCCAGGTGTGGCAAACAGCGGGCCCATGAGCTTCCTGTTCAAGAAAAAGGACACTCCCCCAAAACGGCTCCAACAAGCTGGGATTGTTCAGAGTGGGACAGATCCCTAACCCGAAATCCGGAGTGGCCACAAAATGGGAAACCCCTACAATCTGGTTTAAGGAGCAGGAATACCTTGTTACAACTCAAACAAAAAGACACCCCTACCAACAGGTCTCCGGCCCCCAGATTCTGGTCCACTAGCAAAACATATCACTGACTCACCAAACCACTATGGTTTGCCGCAAGGCAGGAATTACATCCGGTTTTCAAGTGAAACCACCAAACGGGGGCCCGAGCTCGAACAGGACACACACCCCTTGGTACATTCCCTCCCACTGAATCACTGACCTGGCTGAGGGATGCCACTGGCAAATCATGCTCGTTTTGTTTTGAATGTCAGCCAGGGAAACGTGGGAGGGGTCCCCTTAAAGGAAAGCACAAGGGATGGTTTGTAGGGGTCATTCCCTCATTCCTGCTGAGCACCAGCAAGGGGTAGGGAAACCAGAATCGAAGATGCCACCCCAAACTACTAGGGTTTTATTGGGCATGCAACCACTTTATGTTTGTTATACACAGTGTTTTTGTTGGGGTAGTGGTTTGGGAGGGGGGGAAATCTGTATGTTGGGATCCGTTTCTCTTTTTGGTTTGTGTGTGTGTGTGTGTCGAAACAGGAATTTGGACTCCCATCCGTCCAGATTTCCCTTGCTCCAAAAAAGGGTTGTCCACCTCCCACCATCCAACGAAAGGAATATGTTTTCCCTCATCAAACAAAATCATGGCGCCCTTGGAACTGCCCTTGGGTTCATTCCCTCATTCCCCACTGAGCACCAACAAGACTCGAAGCGAGGCCCAAAGATCCGTCGCCTGATACTTCTCCAGGGCCGCATCCGCCTCCACCACCTCGTTATCGGCGTCCTCGCCTGCCGCGCCTTCCGCGGCGTCGCTGCCGGCTTCGGAGGGTTCTGAGCCTGAAGCCAATGGCAGGCACAGGGCTCCACATATACACGTGTATTATCCGTATATACATATGTGTATATGTATATCTAAAAGTTTGTCTGTATATGTATACATGTAAATGCGTATGTGTATAGATGTGTATGCATGAAAGCATGCATGCATCCATCCATCCATCCATGCATGGATGGATGGATGGATGGATGGATGGATGAACTGATGATGGATGGATGGATGGATAAATGGATGGATGGATGGATGGATGGATGGATGGATGGATGGATGGACGGAGGGACGGACGGACGGATGGATGGATGGATGGATGGATGGATGAACTGATGATGGATGGATGAATTGATGATGGATAGATGGATGGATGGATGGATGGATGGATGGATGGACGGACGGACGGACGGATGGATGGATGGATGGATGGATGAATTGATGATGGATGGATGAATTGATGATGGATGGATGGATGGATGGATGGATGGATGGATGGATGGATGGATGGATGGATGGATGGATGGATGGATGGATGGATGGATGGATGGATGGAAGGAGGCATGGATGTATGTATGTATGTATGTGCATGTATGTACGTATGTACGTATGTACGTATGTACGTATGTACGTATGTACGTATGTATGTACGTATGCATGTATTTATGTATGTATGTGTGTACGTATGTATGTACGTATGTGCATGTGCATGTGTACGTATATGTGTTTGTACATGTGTACGTATATGTGTCTGTACATGCGTATGTATATGTGTAAGAGTGCGTGTCTGTGTTTGTGTCTGTGTCTGTGTATGTGTGTGTATGTGTATGTGTGTGTATCTATATATGTATCTATCTATCTATCTATCTGTCTATCTATCTATATATATATATACATATATGTATGTATGTTTGTCTGCCTGTCCGTCCGTCCGTCTGAATGTATGCATTCATGCATGTATGTACATTAATCGTTGTTCCTTTCAACAAAATCTTGAACACAAGTGGGCAAAAGGCGATGTTGTAACAGGCTCTCAAGGGGCCGACGCTACGTCAATTGCAGTAGGTTTATTGAGAAGGCTCGAACACTTGTCAGTTGGTGACTGCAAGGACCTGGCACTTCAGGTATCCTGAGCGTTCCACTGCTAGGCAGGCGAGCGTGCAGCTTGCAGCATGAGGTTGAACTAAGCAAAAAAAGCAAACAAACAAACAAAAAAACAAACAAACAAACAAACAAACAAACAAGCAAGCAAGCAAGCAAACAACGCAAAACAAACCAAACCGAAACAAACAAAACTGTAACAAAACAATCAAACAAACAACACACAAACAAAGCAAAACAAACAAGCAAACAAGAAACCAAATACACAAGCAACCACACACGCAAACTTCCACGCCACACACACATAAGCCCAAAGAACAATCACACAAACAATCACGCAAGATCACACAAGCAAACAAGCAAACAAAACACACACACACACAAACAAACAAACAAGCAAACAGCCACCGAGCGACCGGAGCGAACAAGTAAACACAAACATGCATTGGTTAATACGCAATGCAGACGAAATGCAACCTGACTAAGCGCACTCCCCGAACAAAGTCAAGTTGTTTGCGCGCCTTCTGGATTTGATCAAACAAAACAGATTACACCAGCCTCGGCCCCAAACAGCAAAAAATGCATGACAGGTCTGTATAACCCAAAAAAGGCTTGTCTCCTTCATGTAAGGTGCGAAATTCAGTAGCTTCTGTGAGCAACACATAGTTACAATCAGTCCATGTGTGTCCCTGTAGGAAGTTCTTTTTGGGAAGAGGACACATCGGGTCCGTCCATCTCCTTGACGCCGGGTAACAGCATCGATGTTGTTCATCGACTTCGAGGGGAAAATGCAATGTCAATGCCATGGTCGAGAGTGAAGGCCCCGGGGATTCGGGGTGAATCAACCTACCACCTGGCATTAATCAAAGAAAGTTTCGAAGGAACTTTCGTAGTACTGACACTCAATGCACTTTTCCGTCACCGCAGCATTTGGTGGCCGTCTCGCTACTCTGCTGCAACTTGCGCACCAGTCTCAGCAGCTTGCGGCCGAGACTGGACACATGCCACTTCTGGTTGCTATCTTCTTCTCGAGCTCGGCTAAAGGTCTTGCCACAAGCAAAGCGAGAGAGCACTTGCATAAACTTGCAGACTGCGTTACGGCCGGGCCGTTTGGCGCGCACCTGCATCTGGCATCTGACCGGAGAGACTGGGAGACAGGAAGACGAGCGGAAAACGCGACCGAGCAACAGGAGACACCACTCCGGGGAGACACGACTAGCGAAAGACACGACCCCGGAGCCGGCGTCACAGCATCTGGCATCGGACCGCAGAGACTGGGGGAGAGACTGGGAAACAAGCGGGAGACCCAACATCTGGCGTCCAAGCGTCACAGCATCTGGCCTCTGACCGCAGTGGGCGACACCAGCGTCTCAGCATCTGGCATCCGACCGCAGAGCCAGCGTCACAGCATCTGGCATCCAGATACAGGGAGACAAGCGTCACAGCATCTGGCATCCGACCGCAGACTGGAAAACACGACCCGAGCCAGCGTGAGATGGGAGACACAAGGAGACAAGCGGCAGACACAACCCCGGAGCCAGCGTCACAGCATCTGGCATCCAGACACAGGGAGACAAGCGGGAGACACGACCCCGGAGCCGGCGTCACAGCATCTGAGACAAGCGGGAGACACGACCCCGGAGCCAGCATCACAGCATCTGGCATCTGAGCGCAGAGACTGGGAGACAAGCGGGAGACACGACCCTGGAGCCAGCGTCACAGCATCTGGCATCTGACCGGAGAGACTGGGACACAGGAAGACAAGCGGAAAACAGGACTTCGGAACCGTCGTCACACTTTCCCATTCTCTATACCTCAAGTTAGAACCCCAATGCTTCGCTGTTTGGGGAACAAACCAAAAGAACCAAACATGATATGCAACCAACTAGTTTGGTTGAGTGGACTGCGGGTGCTGCAATCTAAGAGAACTCGACTGCCATTTCACATCCCTTCTGTTCGCTGCAGCTGGGTGGAGGAAGTGTGAATGCCTGTTCTGGACGGTTTATACTTTATGCTGGTCTGGACCGGCTGTTGGATGGTTCAAAGGGAAAACCGCTGGGAGGCGAATCGTCCCCCCTTTTGTTCAAAACAAAGCTCATAGGAGAAGGTGGTGGCATTTCAGGGACTCGAGAGGCGAGTAAGAAAGTCTCTAGGCACAGCCCCGCACAGTGACAGGGTTAGAGTTTCTATTTGACCCTGGAGGCTCGCAAATGCGCCTGCCTCCAACTTTCCGGAGAAAACAAGCAAACACCCATGGATCAACCCCACTACCAGGACTACTTTTGACAGGTGTTAACTGAACACCTATGACCCTGCCCATGACCCCCATGTTGAAGACCTGGAATCGGGGAGCATAGGTTCCGAATGCCGTCAAGGTCAGCCTTAAGCCCCTTCCCAGCCTAAGAGGTCCTCGCCATCATCTACATCTTCGATGAAGTCAGTCTCCTCCTCGCCCTCGTCCATAACCCGGTCTAAGGTCTAAGGCTCTCTGGCCGACTCGAACCATCACACTACGAGCCCGGAGGCGATCCAAAGTCACCGTTGCCCGCGCCTGCAACTGTTCCAAGGAAGTTCACAATCACTTCACCCAAAGAAATGGGTCCTGTCGATATGAGCGAGATGATGAGTCGGCCTAAGGGCCCTCGTAAGGCTTATGAGGCTTAGAGCTTGGAGGCTAACGGCCAAAATGGGCTCAACAACCACCCGAACTGCCGAACCTTGCATCTGCATATGCCAAAGAAGCAAGAAATAGACAGGCCAGCTGGACCTACCATCAAACTTATCGAATCGTCACACATGTGCCTCAAGGGCACATTGCCCAAAAGTCCGTGAAGAAATATCTACGGGTCGGTGGCGTGTGTTCATGGGTTTGGGGCTTGCAAGAAGCTGGAGTCCTAGACGAAGGGCCCCGGTTGCCTTCCAAACAAAAACGCCAAGAGTGGAACCTTCACTGGTCTTTCTGGACAGCGGGAGTTGGTCAAAGCTGGTCACTCAAAACGACGGCACATGTCAGCCCGCGCATCAAGGTTGAATACCCCTCCAGGCCAGGGCGAGCCCCAAGCAGACCTTTTCGTGAAAATGGAAAGAGCTTTCCGCTTGTTTGGTTCATTGGCAGAGTACATTGCCCACAGACCTGGAAATACAAATTTAGCTCTCGGAACCTTGACTAATGAAACTGGGAATACCAAGCCTTGGGCGCCGAATGGAACGCATGTCTGGGGTCTCCCTGTTTTGCCACGCACACATTGCAGGCCTGGCGGGGCGAGGCCTAGTGGGGGGCCCCTTTTCGTTTTTCCAACCCCAAACCTGCCTCGGACCGAGTTACTTCATTGGTTTGGCCTAAACAGGTCAGCTCAACAAAAGCGAACATTTGCGCGGAATTGTAATTTCCTGCGGACATGTTATATGTTGTACAGGGATATTATGTCCATGGAGGGGGTTCCCCATTGAGTCTTAGCAACCAATTGGTCCTTGTTTCTCAAAGAACCACCAACCACAAGCCGGACAATCCTCGAATCTTGGATGGGGTCCAGACTTTTGGGGGGGAATGTGTGTCGTTGTTTCGTTTTGTTTTGTTTGTTTGTTTGTTTGTTTGTTTGCTTGCTTGCTTGCTTGTTTGTTTGTTTTTTTTGGGGGGGATTTTGGGCCCTGACAAAGAATGGCCATCACCATACCTCCCATTTCGGCACCCGGCTCAGCGCCGCCTCTGCTAGGCCCACGGTACTGTCCTCTCAGCTCGCCAAACAGGTTGCTTTATGGATGTAAATGGGGACCCACCATCTTCCATCTTCCTTGTGGTTTCCCTTTGAACCCTTCCAAAAAAACGGGGCCTGAAAAACATGTGCAGTTCATCGTTCCCCTTTTCTCACTTCCAATGAGATTAAACCAAAGGGGCCCCCAATCGACTCTAGAAAGCTAGAAGGGGCACCAATCCAAATCACCTTGGGCCTAAAACTTAGTTGCTTAGTTGCCCAAGGAGAAAGCAAATGGTGAGCAACCAATCGGACAATGATATGTGACCATCATAGAGACTCAGATGCAAGCATCATGGTTGGTTGATTCGTTGTATGGCTGGCGCAACCAATCCGATTTCAAGATGTAGAAACTTTGACATGTAGAAAATGCGTCAATGCAGCAGCTGCTGTGATTGAACATGGACGGTTCCGGCCCGCAAGTGCTCAGCGCATCAAAGCCGAGGAGCACACTGGTCTTTCGCCATCCAGCTACAGAGCAACCTCATAGATCACCTACACTGGCGTCTTGGCAGCTGACATAACATCAAATACTGCAACTTCCAGAAAAAATAGGGAGCCCCTCACTCAAGGACCTTCATCATGGGCAGCTCGTTTCAACCCCAGGTGTCCTCATTCTAGTTTGCCGTGTTTTTGCCCAGAATGCAGGTGTCGCCTTTCTTCTCATTGCTCCCAGTCCGCCATGCCGCATCCAGGTGATATGTGCGAAGCTTGAACTCATCCATGGCATCTTCCCTTTGGCTCGGCTAATAGGTCTACGATTCGAAATGCTCGTCTAGCAGAACCACACACCAGAAAGCACCTACAACAATAGGCTATCTGATTTCTTCCATTGGCAACTACTTTAGCATGCAAGATCATTGAAGAGGGGCTCTGGCGTCTGTTTAGTCGTCAACATGCTCTCTGAGCGGACGATCAAGTGTCAGGGATGGCAGTCGGGCAAGCTACTGTCAGCGTGCCCAGACGATGCGGACCTTGCCAACTGTTGAGACATCGCCTTTGTAAGTGGGCCGCAAAGCGCCTTCTCACGAATCCCAGCTTAGATGGAAATTGATCTTCCAAGAGCCACCTGAAGTTTCATGTCGGGGCCACCTGAGGGAAAGGTTCCTTGTGCCTAAAACTGAGAAGTGGCATGGTTGCATCTTGGGAGCCTTGGTCACAAACCGGAAGATAGACATGCCCGGAAAACCAAAAAAAAGATACCATGTTTTTTGAGGAGGGTTGTCCTATGTGAGGAGAGTTATCCTATGCTAAGTTCAAACACGCAAACATGAGGTGAACACGCCCACATGAGGTGTGCACGGAACCCCCAAGCGCAGGCTCATGGAGGATGGTTCCAAGCTCGAACCCTCGTCTTTTGGGGCAGGGTATCTTCCGTCACCACAAACACCTCGCTGGTGTTCGAATAAGCACGGCTGTGTTGCTCTGTGGGTGCAGCCCAGTGTGCTTAATGAACGAATGGGTGAGTTCAAAATAGGTATTCTGTTGGTTGGTTTCTTGCAAGAAAACCGAAAGGAAGCCACGGTCTCCCCATATTGCAAACACCAACATCGACTTTCCCTGGCATGTTGAGCGCTTCATGGAATGGCAACAAACAAGCCCTCGAGAACAAACAGCCCACGTAAAGAGGTCATTAATTTATCGTTCTCAAAGCCAGCCCCCGCTTGCTGGTAAGTCTAGTAAGTGGGAAAAAGGCTGCCAAACTGACCGCGAGCTTCGATCTGCGATCGTGAGTTGACGTGCGGTCTAGAGGACACCCGAGGTGTGGACAAGCAAGCAAAGGCTCGGCCTGTTGATACGCTCAACTTTTTGGGGGCCGGAGAAAGGGCGACAGACGGTCCTTGCGGTACAAATCCCTGTGCCAGACCTGGCGACGGCATCGTTTGGCCAGGGCGGACCCACCAACGAAACCCACCGACCCACGCGCAGGCCAACCCACAAACCCGCCCGCCAGCAACCTGACGTGAGTGTGTCTTCAGTCAAGCCTGTTTCAGCAACAAGACATCGGAGAAAAAACATGGACCCAGTGTAACGAAGAAGGCAAACAAACAAGCACCAAAGAGCCTGTGTGGAACAGTCAATTCCAAATTAGGCCAGATTCCACGATACACCTTGCTCATTTGGAAGGAGCGATCTCGGCGAAGAGTGTCTATGCGTGGAAAGACCATCCGACTAGCACCTTCTTGCAAAAAGTGTTGCAAGCTCCAGTTCGACGCAAAGGCTCGGACAGCTCTGAGCCTCATCAAAATCTTGCTCGGGCTGCGCAGCGTAATGTTGCAGTCAAAACATCAAGACCGATTTCCAGAGTGGCATGTTCATCACCTCCAGAAGCTCTGCACGGGGTCGGCCCAGGGCAGCCTCATTTTTCAAAGACTTTTCGCGATAACCGGCTGGTATCAACGGCGGTGTTGCCCAGCGTCGAATGCAAATGTCCTGCTGCACACGGGGTCGGCCCAGGGAAGCATTTTTCACGGCAGGGTGTCCGGCGCGAGCTGACACCAAATCATGAGAACAAAGTGAAAGACCAGAATTGGAGCGAAATCTTCATATTCCGCAGGCAGCTTCACTTGAGATTCGAAGGCCTCAAAGTCGAAGTGCCGGTGGGGACAGGCCTGAAGCTGCTCGCCTGCCTCCGAACTAGCTTCCGACACCACGTCATCGTCGCTGTGAGCCACTTCCGCAGCCTCCTTTGTTGGACTTCCTCTTCTTGGCTTCCTGAACCCGCTCCTTCTCTGCAGACCGGCACTCCTCAACTTCAACCGGAGATAGACGCGCGACGATTCAACGCTGGTTTGCTGGGCTCAAGTTTTTCAGGGCGTCCACGCTCGTGCTTTGCCGTTGCAAAGTGCGCCAATCCTAAGCGAAACAGCCACAAGTACACCATGGTAATGCGCTGTGACATTCCAGACAGTGTTGCCTGCTACTCCATCCCTTACACCACTCAGCTTTGCACCTATCCCAGGTGGAGGCGAATGTGATGCATCGACCATGATTAATTCAAGCAGGTTCCTATTTTCTCAGAGCATGCGCAACTTCTGCTTAGACTAAACTCAGCGCGACTGTTTCTGCAAGACTCCCTTTTAGAATCTGCAACAAATTGCACTGCACAGCGCACCAGCTTATTTTCTCAGGGCCGCAGGCTCCAGAACAGGAAATAAGAACCAAACAGCATCGAAGAGGGAGTTCGCATGTTGTAGTTTTAGATTACAAGGAATTTCGAGTCCATTCAACGCCCCACGCTCGCGTGCAAAGTGAAGCGCCCGAAATATGAGAAACATTCGAACCAATGAAACAACTCACAGCAAACGCCACCTAGAAATCTTGCCATTCCATTAAAACAACTCGCGCAGCGAACAGGCGAGTAGGCTTGGAGTAAGGTGGCAGGGAGGCTGTGTCACGTGGGTGCAATCCACGACAATCGGTGGCATCGAATCCGATGTGCCCAGCGGCAGATGCAGTGACCTGCAGTCAGGCAAACCGCCTGCCTGAAGCAGCGGGCGCCTACAAGCGCACATTACACGACTACATTCTAAGATTCGCCCTGAATGGACGGTTGCCGCGGTTTGTTTTGGTTAGGTTTCTGCTTACAGTGGCTGCCCTGCCGCTTGCGCTTGCCCTCCGGGGAAATTTATCACATGCTGTCGATATCTAGAACTGCATGTATTGCACGCATTTGACTCGGTTGTTGCACAGGCTTCACTTTGCAAGATT